ATCCACTTATCTCAACCTTTAAAATGCCTTTTAATAATCATAGTCATGACACCAGCCTGAGAAATATATTGAAGCTACTCCTATAGCCACAGCTGACTTTGACAACAAATCCTAACTTTGACCACTGATTTTGAATCCTTTACTGGCGACTCACTCCCTCACCAACTAAAATTCTAAAGTGCTCTTCCCAGGCTAGCAAAAGTACATGCTATTACCTAAAATAATTATTTTTCAAGTCCATATATACACATACATATGCCTGCCTTGCCACCTTCATGTATTTGTTGTACATGAACACAGACAAATCCTGCATTTACCTTAATATATTTCAGTAATTTACGTATTCCCCATGGCACCACATAGATCCAATCTACATTTTCCCAAGACGGATCTGGAAAAAATTCGATCTCCACATCCTGGAGAAAACCCAGTTCTCCTTTCTTGTTCTCCTGGTGCTTGACTAAGCGAGAAGTGTAATATTGCACAGCAAAGAAATCAGCAGTGCCTTTGATCATTTTCTTCTCTTCTTCTGTAAATTCTGGAAGCCTTGATGATGGATAGCCTTGCTTTTTACTCATGGAGGCAATCTGAGACTTGACAACTTCCGGATAATCACCATCAATAAATATGGGTTTAGCAAAGAAATCCAACTGGAAAGCCATGGCTCTTTTAGCAGCTTCCTGGTCAGACACTGAGTTGGGATCTGCTGGTTCCAACCAGTTAACAAAAATTGATAGGGTCACCATACCCTTCTGCTCTTTTCGGAATAAAGAATCATAACTGTGCCAGGATCTGGCATGAGCCTTAATCATATTATGAGCTGCCTGATAACCTCCAATCCCAATGTGAGGTACACCAGGAGGAAATATACCTAGGTCATATGCCATCAGGGCAAAAATATTAGGCTCATTTATGGTGATCCACTGCTTGACTCGATCCCCGAAGGTACTGAAGCAAAACTGAGCATATTTGTCAAAGCGTTCAATGATTGCCTCTGACAACCAACCTCCTTGGTCTTCTAAAGCCTGAGGCAAATCAAAGTGGTAGAGTGTCACTATTGGTGTAACCCCATTTGTTAACAAATCATCAATGATCTTGTTGTAATAGTCAATTCCTAGGAGAAAAAAAAAAAGAGAAAGTATGAGAAGAAAAGTTATTCTTACTATATGGGAAATAAATTTTAAAAGGGAGAGGATTGGGAATAGTTTTATAAATAACTTTTATTTAAAATAAGGTTTGTTACATCCTAAATATAATCAATGAAAGGCTAAGAGAAAACATGAAAAATTCCAAAGAAGACTGGCTGATCAAGGAATAAGACCTTGATTAATTGACATGATTGGAAGATATATGTTCTGAAATGGATATTTAGGCAGGTCATTATTATCTGAAGCTGTATTATTTTCACACCTTTGAAATTTATTTATTTGTGTGCTCATTTTTTTTCTTAACCCCACTAGAACACAAGCCCCACAATAGCAGAGGTCTTGTCTATATAGTTCACATCTGGATCTCCAAATCCTGAAACAATAAAAGA